CCTGGCACAGCCCTGCCAGCCTCTGAGGGGGGTGGCCTGGGAGCAGGAAGTTCTGAGAGAGGCAAGAAGGGGAGCGACCTTTCTGGCATGGTGGGGGAGGGGGCGTTTTTAAGCATTTTGTTTCAGGCCGAGGAGGGGAAACTCAGAACGAAGCGTCAGCAGAGGCTTAGGATCGGCTTAGGATGTTCCACCCAGGGCAGAGGGCTCTGGGGTGGGGGTGGTTGGCTGGCAGTATCCAGGCACAGCGCAGTATCCCTTTAACTCACGGTGAGTCCTCGCTTGCTGCTCACTGCGCTCTACTTCGGATGCAGCCAGAGTAGCAGGTGGTGCGGAGCTGGGCGTCACGCATTGTGGTACTTTTGTTGTGCAAAGCCCAAAAGGCACAACTGGGAGGAGAGGGGGGCGAGGGGCAGGCCAGCCCCGCAGTATCCCTTTAACTCACGGTGAGTCCTCGCTTGCTGCTCACTGCGCTCTACTTCGGATGCAGCCAGAGTAGCAGGTGGTGCGGAGCTGGGCGTCACGCATTGTGGTACTTTTGCTGTGCAAAGCCCAAAAGACACAACTGGGAGGAGAGGGGGGTGGGTGCCTGGCCAGCCCCTGCAGCGTCCAGTGGCAGCCCCACCTCTCCAATGGCCCACCCCCTTTATTCCCCATTAGATGCTGCAGACCCGGATTCTCTTCTGGTCAGCACTGACTTTGGCTCAGTCCCCACCCCTCGCTGTATCTTATTTCTCCCCTTTCATTCTGGGCCAGTCTGGGTACCTGTTGGGTTCAGGCCGTGTCTTAGTAGGGCTACGTCTACACTGGCATGATTTTCCGAAAATGCTTTTAAGGGAAAAGTTTTCCGTTAAAAGCATTTTTGGAACAGAGCGTCTAGATTGGCACGGATGCTTTTCAGCAAAAGCACTTTTTGCGGAAAAGCGTCCCTGGCCAATCTAGACGCGCTTTTGCGCAAAAAAGCCCCGATCGCCATTTTCGTGATTGGGGCTTTTTTGTGGAAAACAAATCTCAGCTGTCTACACCGGCCCTTTTACACAAAAGTTTTGTGCAAAAGGGACTTTTGCCCGAACGGGAAATTCAAGCAGCCAGTGTAGACAGCTGGCAAGTTTTTCTGGAAAAGCGGCTGATTTTCCGGGAAAAAAATGGCCAGTTTAGGCACAGCCTAGGTGTTTGTACAGCTCCGTGCTATTTAGCACTTGCAACACATTCACACGACAACGAGCATTGCTCACTAGGGTGCCAGGTGTCTGGTTTTCGCCTGGACAGTTCATTATTTCTGGCCTCTGTCCGGTAAAAAACCCAGAAAATACCGGATATGTAAAATGTCCGTTATTTTCTGTTTCTCTCGGATGGAAGGCCGGTGGGGACATTCTTCCCCTGCCGTGTCTGGAGAGGGCAGGGGGGAGTGAGGAGAACGGGGATATTTAAAGTCGCAGCTCCCCAGGTTTTTTTGGGGTTTTTTTGCTCAGCCAATTTTTTTTCCTGCCATATTCGGGATTGTTTGTGAAAGTATCTGGCAACCCTATTGCTCACCCCATTTTACAGATGGGAAAAACTGAGGTCTGGGGGCTGCTGGGACTTGTCCAGGGTCATTGAGCAGCAGAGAAGCAGAACCTGGATTTCCTTCACTGGAAGTCCAGCGTTCCGCCCCAGAGACCACAGAGGCTGCCTGGAACCCCTGCAGGAAACATCATGCCCAGCGCTTCCGGTTCCTTTGGGCTTCTCAGAATTTTGCACAAACACCAGACCTGGGGAAATGCTGAGCAAGGGTTTAATTCACCATCAAATCAGCAAACTGCTGCACTGCATTCTGGGTCTGCTTCCAGCTCCCTTTTCCCTCTGCTCCTGGGCATGGGCTGCATTTCCCTGTGTTGTGCGTTTGTCGGGCTAGTGGGCCCTGTGCAAGCCTGGAACATCCACAACTTGACCTCTGTGCCTGGCTCTGCTGCTGGGCGATGTGGGGCGAGTTGCTGCGCCATGCCGTGCCTCAGTTTCCCCTTCTGAATGTAACCCAGAGGCTCTGAGAAGGGCGAGGGATGTCTGCGCTGCAGCCTTAGCTAAGAGCCACTCAGCTTTTAGCTAACATGGCAGAGGCACATGGCTTTAGTTTCTAAGGTTGCAGGTTCAATCCCTCCGGCTGATGACTAGGGTCTGTTGGCACTACATGTGGAACTGGGCTAATGCTATTGATGGAGGGTTGTCAGCTGTCTGGTCTTCACCTGGACAATCCAGGGTTAGGCTTGTGTGACCGGGTGCCCTTTGACAAGCCCTGATTTTAGCTAACATGGCAGAGGCACATGGCTTTAGTTTCTAAGGTTGCAGGTTCAATCCCTCCGGCTGATGACTAGGGTCTGTTGGCACTACATGTGGAACTGGGCTAATGCTATTGATGGAGGGTTGTCAGCTGTCTGGTCTTCACCTGGACAATCCAGGGTTAGGCTTGTGTGACCGGGTGCCCTTTGACAAGCCCTGATA